CCTGCAGAGATGGAAGGCCTGTGCTTGGGGTAGGAAGAGTGGCTTGGTTATGCTGTCCTCGATAGATGATTGTGATACAAAGATCAATGTTATAAACCACTGCATTTTTTACAGAAGTTAAGTAAATATAAGGCTAATGACAGATGTTTTCATTTAAACTTCAAGAAGGGTACCGCCTATACATCAATTTGGAGTTGGTGTAATGAGCCAACAAGATTCTAAATTACAATAAAAGCAAGTATAGCAATGAAATCTACTGGAGACTTAACTGGTCTCAAGTGCATAGTTAGATTTCTAAAATAATAGCTACAATCCAGCATAACAAACATGACTTGCTTAAAAACAAAAGCTGGAGTTTAACTGTTAATTGCAGTTGGTTTTCATTCCCATGAAAAACTGCATGTTTCCTCTCGGAATAACTTCTCTATAAAGGCATACCAACGGCGCCCCCGAATCATGTGCAGTGGGTCTAAGACTACCCAATTCTGGTTTTTTTCCCCCAGGCATGCCAGCACTGAGGCCCTTAAGGTCTCAGCAGATGAATTTTCTATGAATACTGCTTTTATCCTCAAATGATGCTAAGGTTTAGTCTTTGTCTGGTTGCAGGGGGTCAAAGAGAGAGTTGTAGCAAGTGACAGCAGCCAAGGGCAAAATGGGAGAAGGGTGAAGGACAGTGCAAGCATCTGGGAAGGCAGAAACGGAGGAACTGATAGCAAGGTCTAACTGTGAGTTGTGGGAGATGGCCCAGGAAGCTTGGAAGGGGGCTTGGAGCAGGATGAGGGAGAAGTAATTGGTGGTAGGGGAGGGATCAATATGTAACAAGTTTTACATGTAATACAAGTTTTACTTGTAATAAGTTTCTTTTTTTAATTGACATTAAAACATGTTTTTGAGTTCTCATGCACTCATGCACAGCAGCCCGCAGTGGGGATTTCACCGGCTATCCCCGAGCTCACAGAGAAGGGCATGGGGCAGTATGGGCTGAGCATGCAAAGGGGCACACAGCAGAAAGTTACAAGGGTCTTTACAAGGTAATTTCTGTTTTGCAATATACAATGTTTCCTTTGTTTCTGTTTTGCAATATGCAACAGCTAAATAATTTTTATCAAGTTTTTATCTTTATATACTATCCTGCTTTGCACAGTACTGTTCTCTTAAACTTCCAGTGTATTGAACACACACGTGTGCATACATACATGCATATGCCTAGTACAACATCTTCCGCTGAGGTATGCTACCAGCTGAAAAGCACTAGAGCTGCCACTAGTCAGATCTATCTCATTTTCCTCCAAGAGGAATTCTGAAAAACTTTCCACACTACAAACAAGATTCTGTTTTGTACACTGGTGAAAACATCTAGACAAATCTTGTGGAAGGCAAGTCATTAACCTCCTTGGACAGTCACCGGGGACAGTGAATGACAATTCATTTTGGTTGTTGACCTTTGTCTCTACCTGTTCTCTGCCTGGATCCCTGCTACTGTCGGTGAGAACTGCTCAAGCTAGCTAAAGGGAGCGTCTCTAACAGAGCTCAGAAGGCACTCAAGCAATCAAAGAGCAATCAGAAAAGGACGAGAGTCCTGATGGGAAGAGACTGTCCAAGCTGTTCACAGTGTTCTCTCCTGAACCATACGTTGTTCCATGTTTGCAAACAGTATCATATGGGTAAACTTCAGCACCTACGTGAAATAAAGAACCTACAGAAGAAAGCAAGTGAAGAAGCTCTGAAAACGTTTCAAAGTAAACGCTGTTTCGCTTGCACTCCCTTATCCGCTCTGCCAAGACTGTGGCAGCAAAATGAAATGGCAAGTAAGCAGAAGCAGCAAAGGTTTCCCTTCTTCCACAAAGATCTAGCTGAAGCATGAGAAGAGGCAGGAGGCGACAAGTTCTATCCTGAAGGCTCTGTTAATTCCTCACAGAAAGATCCAGCCTCTTCCAGCAGCCAATTCTCTGCAGGTGGGCAGAGAACGAAGGTGGCCTTAAAAGAACGGCAGACAGCTGATGGAAAGGCTTTGTTGTCAGTCAGCTTCCAGATGCTTGTTCAGGACATGCTCAACCCCTGCAGAGGCAGGATAGGGTGGAGGAGCAGTGCTCGGAAAGGAGAAGGGCTCTTCTTTGGGCAGAGCTTTTGGGAGAATGGTCTCTTCTAGGCAATCTACTAATAATCAACTTAAAAATTAAGCTAAGTTACTTACTGTCTCTTTTGTATCTTATAACATCTTTCCTAGCACCTGGCTGAGTGTCTCAGATGAAGCAGTGCTTGATACCGTTGTTTACTTAAAGCTGTTTTTTGTCTGATGTGTTTCAACATCTCGGCCCAAATCCCTGGACGCTTCTAACTTCCTGGATTATACTGGTGTTTTGAAGAAAAGACAGAAAGAACTCTACTAACTACAATTCCACATTGTTTCGTCATTAATGAGGATGTGATTTAACACTGGATTCTGATGTGTATTTTCCAGGCTACGTTTACTCCGATAACTGAAAAGTCATTTCATTTACACTAAGACTGAGTAATGTTTCATGAAGAAATGCTTTCTAAACTAGAAACAGAGTTCACTTTTTAAAGTGATAAAGTGTTCATTTGCATGTGATAATTCAGCTCAGCCAGAAAAAGATTCTTGTAACAGACAAGAAAAGTGAGTTTCAGGCAGATAAATGCCAAAAATAATTATGATATAATCTAATAAGAATTTCTCTAAGAGAGCTGGTTATATATTATCACATTTGACTTGCCCTACTGCATGGGAAAATGTAACTATCAAAATGCTGGAAGCCTGAGTGTTTTTTTTTTTTTTTTAAACGTTTATGGAAATTCTGCATCATCAGACAATACTTGCAGCATGCTTGAATTTAATAAAACATTTGGGTTCATGATTCATTTGTGCTGCAAAGCACATAAATTTTTAAAAAGACATTGCAGCGTGTAGATAGTCAGAAAGAAAAGTTTATACTTCTACAGGGTTCACAATGTGTTTGACCCTGATGGTGACCTTGTGCCCCAAACGTGTCTTAATGTGGCAGTTCTTCACCATATGAATTAATGATATACATATACAGTTCATGTACTGTTTCTCATGGAGAACTAAGATGGAGATCATGAACATTCTGATCACTAATAATCCTGTGTCCTTAATGCAAAGCTGTTTTCTCTACTGTCCTGCAGCACTTTAATGTAATTATTAATATTAATGTATTGACCATGTAGCGCTGAGAGCTGCACTCATCCTGAGTGCTCTTTGACACAGTGGAGAACAGCTGAGGAAGCTGATGGAAGGCTGAGGGAAGCCAATCAGCACCCTAATAAATCAGTAAGGCCAAGGAATTTGCCCTACTAGGCAGGAGCAGGAGGAGCCCAAATGAGAGGGGAAGAAGCAGGACAGGCAGCAAGCAGGTCACGTCTGTGCGATTACAATGGAGGTTTGCCTTGCAAAGGGCAAGAACAAGGTTTTTTGCGTTCATAAGAGGGGGGGAAAGAGAAGCTGATTTTTGAGGTCTGCAAGACTTGCATGACAGGCCAAGGACTGAGGATGGGCCATGTTTACTAGGTTTATTACAATGATATCGGACAGTTGTAACTCAGAGCACCCACAAAGGGATGAATTTTACTGCGTAACATTCTACAATTGTTTCACCTAAGCAGCGTCAACCTCTTTGTCTGCAAGCTAAATGTCTAATGTTTAATTGGAGAACAACCTGTGAAGCGCTTTCAAACTGAAGACAGAGTTTAGTACAAATGTGAAGGCAAAGCTAGCACAGCATTAACTTTTATCTTCCCAAATCCCCTTAAAGTTTCAATAAAACTTCCAGCAGAAGCATCACTAGCTGGAAGAACAGCGAGTTAACGTGATCCAGATCAACTAGTAAAGGCAAGTGGGCAGTAAGTTAGGAGGCTGTTTGTTTCATCTGTGATCAAATCCATTTCCTGAGCCTCAGGATTCCAGGGGAAAGGGCTGATGAACTAATTCAGTTGAATGACATGTTATGAAATTCTGGCTGGACAGACAGGGGACTGCGAGGGACTGTCCAGGATCAGGACACAGCAGGCCACATAAACGCAGCTGGCTGATACTCAATTTCAAGAAAAATAACTATGTCAAAGTAAGACAAATGGTCAGGGGGAAAAAAAAGAGAGGGAGAGATGTAACAATCCAAAAATCAAAAATCTACAAGCAGCCTGGTGGTTGATCTGAAAAATTCCATTAGAAGCCTGGGTAGAATGTGCACTGCAATTTAAAAAGGAAGCAAAGTGATCCAAACTCCCACCCTGTAAAGATCATTGGGAAGACTAAGGAGGCATTGCAGCACAAAGGCTGGCGTTTAGCTTGTCCAGATGAGAATATGAAAACCCATAGAGCATGGCAGGTCACATGTGAACACAAGATCAGGAGAGCTAATGAAGACGTGGAAGAGGCCCTTGCAAAAGGGGCTGTTAACTGGTAATAAAAAGTTCTTAAAAAAAACAAAAAAAAAAACCCCAAAGCAGGAAGGCAGTCAGTGAATCGGTGGGAGCACCTGGTGAGCAGCGTGGAAAAGGGGCACTCAAGGGTGATAAGGCCACAGAAGAGAAACTGAATGAATTCTTTGTTTTGGACTTCACTGCTGAAGGTGCTGGAGAAAGTCCTCACACCCGATGCAATCTTTGCAGCCACCAAGTTAGAGGAGCTAGATCCAAATGAAGTACCCTTAACGAGCTATATATAAATCACCAGGACTGGTTGGCGTCACCCCAGAGCCCTGAAGGAGCTAGAATGAGAGACTGCAGAACTGCTGGCCAAGGCACGTGGCCTCTTGTTACAGTCACAGTGACCAGGCCCTGGCGATTTGCCAGCGTCCCAGCTCCAGAGGGGACTCTGGGAACTACGGCTCAGTGATGAGGAAGTTTGATTTCTTTTTCAAAGCTACAACAGACGCTTGGTCTGAGTTTGATTTCCATATACAGGTCAGGCACATCTCTTTGAAATTACTCTCCAACCGTTCTCTTTCATGTTTTGGACTTACCATTGATGTTTACAGCTGGCAATACTATAGACATCTTTGGTCTTCTGGTCTTGTTATGTGTGGTGGCTGGCAATAACAGGTGGTCCTGGAAAACAGGGGAAAAGATGTGTTAAATCTACCCTGGAAGCACAGAGCTGGGAAAATTCCACTGCGTTCTCCGTTACAGGCATTCCACATAAAACTATTTACGACAGCTTAGCAATTTCAAATTGTCGAGAGAGTCTTCCAAAAGTCACAGCAATCGCTCACGCTGCGTAACCAAGAAGAAATCCCTATCGCATGTGGAAGAATATGAAAAAGCCTTGATCATGCGGAAAGGGATGGAAACTACTATTAGGCCCTAGTTCAACAGAGCACTTATGTCTATGATTAAAGTAATTTAACTTGACTTCAAAGATATTTAAACATGTGGTTAAGGGCTCTGCTGAACTGGAGCCTTTACTGCCAGTGCTGTTTGCTTTATACGTAAATGTCATCTTACTATATCTATCTCGAGGTCTACACCACATGCCTCCTCCAGCAGGACCATATCAGTCAGGGTTGTGATGGGCTGTGAAATGTGAGCTCTGCTGACAAAACCTAGCAGGGAAGTGTGAAGGCAAAGCTGTGTTTTTGCCAGAGCACTTTATTTCAGCTGTGAGGTGGCTGAGTGCAATAGGAAAGAAGTGTTCAAACTAACTGTGTTAGGTTTTAGCAGTACAAGCGGCATCTGCAGGAGGAGCTCCAGGTGTGGACCTGACCTTCAAGGAAAAATTTCTTCCGTCTTTTTGTTAACTGTTGTTGAAGTGCATTTGCTGGACTTGCAGCCTGGGGAAATATGGTTCTTTTCTTATCAACAGAACTAACAGAGCATAAAGTGCCAGGCCAGGCATCTCTTATATTGTACTACGCTGATCTAGATTGACCAAAGATCACTAAGGACAAGGGAAGCTTCCCCTCGCTTTCAAAGGTTAGCTTTCCTGGTAGAAGGCTGCTGCACTACCCGACCTCAATACGCCGTGGGCATTGCGAGGGAGTTATATTTGCTCTCTCTTAGTAATTAGGAGTGAAAAAAAAAAGTCTGTGCGTATATAACTGACAAATCTAGCTAAATTTCTAACTTAGACTGTAAATGAAACAAAAACTGCCAATCACTAAATATCTTCTCCAGCCCCAAAAGAAAAATTTCAAAGGCTTATTTTTCCAACGTGCGTGTTTACCCCTCTCTCTCTGTAATCCCAACCATTCCAAGTTCACTCCCAATGTCACTGCTAAGAATGAAAGGCAGCAGGTGCTACCAGGTCACACACATGGGTACTAACTCTCCTAAAAGCATTTCTGAGCATCTGCCTTTCGAGACCCAGACATCTATCTCAAATAGGTTAAAAAAAAAAGAAAAAGAACAAGGTTGATATTCTCATCTCATGTTTTCCCATCTGTAAAACTCCCACAGTATTTTACAAAACTGGCAACTCAGAAAGACTTTACAGGCAGCTCTTTGGTTAAGAAGAGGCACCCAAACACCCTACTATGCTTTTGAATAAGGTTACCTTTCAGCAGAGTAAATTATACTTTCTCCAGGACACGGTTGTTGTTAGCTTCTTAATTTCAGGGTAACTGTATTCTTCCCATTTTAAAATCTAAATATTACATTGTTATGACTAAGATTCAGGGTACTGAGTTACACGCACAGTTAAGTGTTAAAAATATCAACAATATTCTGTAGATACATTTCAGAAATATCACTCTGTTTTTTTCCCCCCCAAAGAAAAAACCCAGATGACTAACCATGAGAAGTGAAAATGACTTAAATAAATGAATCTAATTAAAAACATTTTAGGACCAAAATTATAAAACCACTCTCATATAATCATTCTCAGACCACATATGTAGTTCCCATTTCATTCCTGAACGACTGAGACTGAGACAACACTCAGGAAGACAATGAACTTCACAGAAAAACTGTTCTGAAATTCAGCGGGGCATGAATTGTTCCCTCCCAAGGGAACAGTCTAAAGATAAGATGTCCATCAGATCTACATTTTGTAACAGTGTCCTTGTCATGATTTGAGGACTAGTTTCAACAGTGCTTTAAAAAGTTTATCCTTGTTTTTTTCTTTTTGAACACTTCTGAGAAGCCATAACATTGAGCATTATCTAGCAAAAAACCAAATACTGCATAGATTACAAGTAATTACTATTTTTTTGCTAACATATTTCAAGATTGGTAAATGAATTGACACTAACTTAGCTTTGCTTATAATGACACCTTTATTTACTGTATGTACAAAATGTGAGGAGGTACTTAGCTAATATATTAAGAATTATCACAAAGTCTTTGTAATCTGAATACCTCTACAGAAATAAACAGCAGATGACAGCGATGACAGAAAAACCAAATGGCTGCATAGCACCAAAATAAAGAAAATCCCTTAATTTCCCCCTCGGTCATTACCTCCTTGGCTGGCCCTCTAAAAAACATGCTAGTGCAAAACGGCAGTTTGAAAGGTTAGGTAGAAAAACTGTGAGCATCCAGCAGAGGCTACCAAGCTGGTGAGAGGTGCGGAGCTTGAGGTATTTGCCTACAAGGAGGGGTGGAGGAAGCTGGGCTTGTTCATTCTGGCAGTGAGGAGACTAAGGGGCAACCTAACGGCAGTCCACCACCGCCTGAAGAGCAGCTACAATGATAATGGAACAAACTCTTCTGTGTGGTACCAAGTGATATAACAGGGGGCAATGGCCACAAGTTGCACCATGGGACGTTCAGGTTGGACATTTGGAAACACTCTGAAGATGGTGGCACAATCCTGGAACAGGTCACCAGAGAGCTAGGGGATCGCTGTGCTTGGAGGTTTTCAAGACTCAGCTACACAAAGCCATGGATGCCCTTATCTAGTTAGCAATAGTTCCACTTCAAGCTGAAAGTTGGACTGGTGGCCTCCAGAGCTTTTCCTCACCCAACGTTTCTACGATCCTGTGACACTCTCGTAGACTGCATGACAGACACTGGCTGTAACAGCTTCTTAAAAGAGTCCTACGGTAACTACAGAGGCAGCGCAAACACCTCGCACCAGTCCAACACAGCTAAACTCTATGCAGTAATGCTGCCGGACAGGTTCAGATTCCACCAAACTTACTTGCTGGAAAACAATAGTTTATTCTAAACCTTGTATTCAAAATGGGATATAAAATGCACCTTTCTTATTCAGCCTCAGCTAGAAGCCAATATATATTTTAAATAAGATGAGTTAGATTTAATGTCAACTAATTTTAGACGTCTGTGAATTGTCTTTCAAGAGCTGTGAAGAAGAAACCTCACAGCTTATCACCGTTTGCTCTCCTTCCTTATAACTTCTGCTTAACAACAAAACCACCAAGTCATCTTCTGCTGGATCAGTCAGCTGAAGGGGCTCAAGAAGGGGCCTGAGCCCTTCCCAGGGCTGGTGTGATCATGTGACAGGAGCTGGGAAGGAACAAGGTCTCCCCATTTTGGTAGCAGTCAGTCGTGCAACTGGCTTAGCTGTGTGGCCCGAGTCTAAGCCTAACATGTGAGCTCAATCCAGTTGATGTCATGAAACAGTCACCTCTCATTTCGTTCTACCCTAAGATAGCCTGGAGAGGACTACTACTTAGATAGGTCCAGAGATGCCTGCTGCTCTCCACTGACTATAATAAGAACGAGAACTAGGTCAGACATGGGTAACCAACTTTCAAACACCTTAAGCTATATTCAGTGAATCCCTCCCAGAAAGTCTTCTTGCCCTCCCACAGAGGAACAAAAAGGAGCACCATTTTCTAGACAACTATATACACTCAAAAACATTAGAGCAATACAAGAAGGGGGATAGATATATACAGTGACAATATTCTAATTCAGTATCATCTAATGAAGTGAAACTTATTTTACACAAATCATAGCAGGGCCAACACATCCTACTCAGCTACACAAAATCCCGTTTGAGCCAGAAACTGAAAAAATAAAAACTTTCTATTATCAGAGCACTGTTATCAGCACTCTCTCCAAACGCAACCAGACAAGACCAACCCACTGGATCTGAAACAAACTGCACAGGAAACCAGTTTCATCGAAGCTGCTCTGCTAACCGAATCCAAGGCATTTAAAGGGACTTCCTCTTATCTTCCAGGTTCTGAAATGCCTCCAAAAACTATACAATAAAGTGGTACATTCATGCATCAGTTCACCTGCTCCTCCTCTGTTTTACTGGTACAATTTGAACAGTGTGGGAAGGAAGACCCAGAGACTTCTGTTTCCACAGCAGATAGTAAGACAGTGAAGTCATTTCCACTTGCATTTGTGTGTCCAAACACACTTTGGAGTTTCCGTACAACTCCTCCATATTTCAACACCAGCTTTGGAAGACAGACCTATAAAAAGCCAGTCAGCTGTAGGTCCAAACTGCTAGCCTGAGCTAATGTGCAAGACGCACAGATTGTCTGGAAGTTGAATACAGCCCATCTCTACCACAAAGAATTGGCTGCGTCTTTGGTGCTTTTTTTTTTTTAACCTTGAGCTAGGGAAATTTATCCATCTCCCTACCGTCTTTTTCTTTAATATGCAGGAGTGTCTCTATGACAATCAAGCCTAACTTGCAAGCTTTCATTATTACCCTCATTCTATATGGAAGGCAAAGGTAGTGGCAGGCACTCTGCAGAATATCATAAATACTTTGTCTACAGTTTAGCTACCCCACCTACAATGTTCTGTTGCATCCAAAAGTCTTCAAATTGTCCACAAGTTTTATATGAAAGTTAATATCCAATTACATACATGCAACATAAATCAGTGTAAAGATTAGTGATTAGAAATAAGACATTCAGAACCATTGCTCAAATATATTTCTAACATGTGAAACATTGCCTTGTCCTATCCTGTTCTGAAGCATGCCGAACTACAGCCCCAGGGAACTGTGACGATTTACTCATCCCTAATTTTAAACACTAGATAAAAATTTCTAAAATTAAAGTGCTGTTTGTGATATTGACACATGCAATAAAGCTGAAAATGAATAAAAGCAAAGCCTACAAGTCAGCATCTGGCCCATGAGCATGAATGTCAACCAGAGGCAGAATAAATCACAGCTATTA